CAAAAAAAAAAAAAAAAAAAAAGAAGCAGACAGAAACCCACTCTCCCCTCGGGAACACACTGTTGCCTCCACTCTTGCTCGGGTGTCATGCTGTGACCCAGTTAAAACTTTCTCAGCGAGCTCCCTGCTGCTGTCATATCCTCCGGAGGTGACGTCATCCCAGTACGCACACCCTGAGCACCCACTGTGTGCTTGCTCGGGGGTGGAGACGAGGATGGTGAGCCCTTGGGGACACCGAGATGGCACGCAGCCCTTATAGAGGAGGGGCAGGGAGGGGCCGTGCGGTTGGGGGTGTCCCTGCATGCAGGGCTGTTGCTGTGTGGTTTTCTATGACCCAGTGCAAACTTCCTCACAGACAGAGCACAGACTCAGTGCTGAAGCCTGTAGGGCTGCCCTGTCCCTGACTGTCAGGTTACATGATGATGCATTAAGGGGCACCCCACCAGGGACTGCATGGTCCTAGCGGGCTTCTGAATTCAGGGGTCCTGGATTCTGACCCTGAAGGCAGCGGTTTCCAACGCTTTTTCGTCTTTACCCCGGGAAGAAGTACCTTTTACATTTTGACCCAGCAAACACGTGATACCCACTCACTCCGTAATTTTTTTAATGCTGTTTCCTAGTGTTTGTCCCTGGGTCAAGCATTTCACCAACTGTTTAATCTTCTCCACAAGCCCAGGTGATAGCTACTGTCTTGTCCCCTTTATGCAGACAGAGAGACTGAGGGATCCACCCACTCCGCCTTCCCTGCCAACTGCCTGCACATCAGACTCACCCATGGTTACCTGCTTGGCTCCAGGAGTTCCACACCAGAAACCCTTTGGCAAGGTACTTCACCTGTCAAGTCACAGAGAGGCACACAAAGTGAGGGCAGGTGTAGTGCTGGCTGCATTGAGGTGGCACCTACTGTGTGCCAGGCCCCCTTCTGTCCCCTTCACAGGTGTCTCCCTCTCCAAAGTGTCCATTTGGAAGGAGACCTGGAGCCATCCAGGTTCTGAGGCACCGAGGTGGCAGAGCCTGTGGAGATGAGCTCGCTTGCCTGGGGGTGGCAGCCGGGCACCCAGGGGTGATCCTGCCTCTAGAGGACCCAGCTTGGGACCATGTACCGCCACCCACTTTCAGGTCTGCCACGTGCAGGTGAAGGAGGAAGGCGTGGAGGCCTGGCCTCCTGGCCAGCTCTGTCTCTGCTGGGAGGTGCCCTGGCCACACGTTCTTCCTGAAGGGAGGACCAGGCAGCTGAGGCAGCTGTAGACGCAGCTGAGAAAGCTCTGACAGGAAGTCCCTTGAAGTGTGGTCGATGCAGTCAGCAAATATGGGAGACGACCCCAATCCTTACCCTAATCCAAATTCTTGCTTCCCCAACCACATTTTAATCCTTGCCCTGCCCAGGGATTTTAAGGGCTGACCCAAATCCTGACCCAAGGGGAAGGATGGAAGGGGGAATAGCCTCCAGCCTCACCCCCACCCTCTATCCTCCCAGGTTTACCTCCTCCCCTCTCCTGGGTGTCTCCCTCCTGGCTTGGCCCAATCCCACAACCCCCACCGTCTTTCCCCCTTCCACAGTGGCAAGCCCCTCCAAGTGACCTCTCCCTTGCCCCCAGCACACAATAGGTGCTCACTAAAGAACTCTGCCTTTCCTCAACTCCAGTGTGATGCTGCACCCTCTCCATTGTAGCAGAAAGTGCGCGTGGGCTGTGAAATCTAAATGGACAGCATCGGTTGCTCTTCTGAAGACTGGCTGAAGTGTGGGGCAAAGTGCAGCAGGGACGCTGAAGGTGACATTTATGTAGCATTTATTTATGCCCGGCAGGTTAATCCCGACGGGAGCTGGAGCTGCAGCCCAGCCCAGCCCAGCCCAGCCCCACCGTGAGTGCAGCCGGGGAGCTCGAAGCCACAGGGCAGCCTGCACCATTTCCTCCCACCCACCACCACCGTGGCCTCTGCTGTCTCCCAGGAGCCCCTTGCCCCAGGTGCCCCTTGCCCCAGGTGCAGGTGTCTGACCATCCAGGAAGCAGGGCTGAGGAGCTCCCAGCTCAAATCCAGTTGCTGAGACGTACCCTGTTTTGGTGTTACTGAGGCAGGGGGCTGATGGTGGTGCTGAAGGTTCAGGGTGGCAGTGGACCCGGGGGCCCAGCCTGGCCATGCCCCACTGAGTGACCGGGAGTGGCAGAGGGCAAGGCTGGACTCCGGAGGGGTGGGTCTGATACTCCTGAGGCCTCCTGGCTGGTCCCAGCTGAAAGGACCCAGTGTAGGCCCCTTGGGCCTCCGTTTCCTGGTTTGGGAGACCTCAGCCCCCAGGCACCCTCAGCTCAGGGCTCCCTAGGACCCTGTGGGGGCACAGACCCCGGCGCCATTTCATTGGTTCCCACCTTCCCGTGCCCCCGTGCTCTTCCATGAAATGGGATCGCCAGTGTGCTGGCAGGAACGGCGCCTGGGCATGGGGTACGCCCGGTACACCCAGCACCGTCCGCAGTGTGGGTGCGGAGGAACCTGAGCTTCTGACATGCCAGGGATCGAAGCGTGCGCCAGGATTTTGAGTATTAGGAGAAAAGAAACACCCCTGTCATTGAAGCCACGGGCCCCTTCCTGCTTTCAGAGTTTTTTTTTTTTTTAATTTATTATTTTTTTGGGTACAGAGTCTTGCTCCATCGCCCAGGCTGGAGTGCAGTGGCGCGATCTCGGGTCACTGCAACTTCCGCCTCCCGGGCTCCAGCGATTCTCCTGCCTCAGCCTCCCGAGCAGTTGGGACCACAGTCGTGCGTGGCCACTCCCGGCTAATTTTTGTATTTTTAGCACAGACGGGGTTTCACCATGTTGGCTAGGCTGGTCTCGAACCATTGACCACCGTGACCGGCCCGTCTCGGCCTTCCGAAGTGCTGGGATGACAGCTGTGAGCCACCGCGCCGGGCCCTTTCGGAGGTTTCAAGGTGCGCCGCGCGGGTGCCACTTACTGGGAGGAAAGTGGGGAGGCCCGTCCTGCAGAGCCAGAGCGCACCCTCCCCGCGGCCCCGGGTCCTGCAGTTCGCCACCTTCCTTCTCCACGTGGGGACCCTGGAGCCCGGCACTACCGCGTGCAGCTCGGAAACGCGCACAGCCGGGGTCAGGGCCCCAGGCTCCAGCCGGTAGGTCCCCGCAGCGCCCACACGCTCGTCCCACCCTCTCCTCCTGGTGCCGCGGGCGGGGGCAGAATCCGCGCCTTCCCTGGGCCGCTGTACCCCCCCGCAGCTGCCCTCCCCTATCCGTCCCCCTTCCCCCTCCCCACCCTCTTCGTCCCTCCCCTCACCACATCTCCTCTCCTCCCCCACTCCCCTCCCCGCTTCCCTCCCCTCCCACCCTCCGCGCGGGGCGGGCTCCACGGCCACATGACCTGCGGCCAGGCCGGGATGCGCAAGGCGCGGCGTCAGGGGCCGTGGGCATGCAGCGGTGGTGGGTCTTCGTGCTGCTTGACGTGCTGTGCTTGCTGGTAGGTAAGAGCCGCGGGGCCCCGGGTGTGGGGACCCTCCCGGGACAGAGACGGCCCCGGCTCAGTGCAGGTTCACAGCAACTGGGGGCTGCGTGCCCTCGTCCCTCCGCGGACCCCGTAGGTCGCACCTCCCTCCACGCGCCGCGCCGAGTGCACCTGCCAGGCCTCGGGGTCCCGGGGTCCCCGCGTCTCTGCCCGGGGGACTGGGGGGTCTCGAAGCGCCCGGGGCGCCGGGGCTGCCTCCACGCCCGGCAGCAGGAAGTGGCCGTGCAGGGGCCGCGCGCACCTCCCTCCGGCCGCGCCCGACCTGGGCGGTGATTCACGCGGGCGGCTGGCCCGGGGGGTGGGAGCGGCCACGGATCTCCCAGGACGTCCGCGCCTCTGACCCCGGGTGGGCGCTCTGGGTGCTCACGGAGGGGCTGACCCGGCCCTGACGCCCAGCGCGTCGGTGGGATTCGAACCCCTGCGCCTTGGGCAGGGGAGACACTTGGAGAGAAAAGCTGGGTCCCAGACTTCGGGGCCTTGGGAGACCCAAACCTGTCCTGCGGGTTTTCGGGCCGGATGGGGGAAGCGGAGCCCCGAGGTCCCCCCCACCCCAGGGTCCCGGGAGCAAAGGCCGAGTGTTTGCTCTTGTGGCTGAAGGGACAGTGGCCCCGCAGTTCTGTCACTGCGGTGGGTGGGGTTGCGCTCCTCCCCAGCGCGTTTCCTGGTTCTCTGGCCAAGCCCTCTGACCTCCAAAGTAGACCCTCGTTAGGGGAGGGCCAGGGGACAGCACAAGGTCCCCGTGGGGTGTCTGCCAGCCCTGGGTGCCATGTACTGAGCAGCTGTGCTGTCAGTTACTTAAACATATGAGTGGCACTTTCTGGCTGTCAGGTGCCCAGCAGCATGCAGATAACTGAAACGGTTCCCTTAAACGGCCTGTGAGGGAGGTGCAGCCTCGCAGAGTCGCCTGCTGGAGGCCACACAGCCGGGAGGTGCCACCGGGGTGGGGTTGGGTGTGGCTGCTGTGTGCCAGGGGTGGCCGAGGCCACCTCCATCTGGAAGCTCTGGCTTGTCACAGTGCAGTCCGCAGGTTCCAGACCGGGCTGTGGGGGCAGTGTGAGGGCGGGAAGGCCCCTGGGGGTAAAATGAAGAGAAGGTGCCTGTTCTGGGAACCCCAGGGCAAGCTTTCCAGGCAGAGGGAAGCCCAGGGCCGGTTGTCATGGGGGTGTCTGAGTCTCTAGCTGCAGTTACTGGGGCAGGGAGGTCGGAAACGGAGGCCAACCGGTGTGAGCCTCTGCCTGCTGAGAGCCCCCGGGGAGCGCCTGGAGTCCTGTGACCCTGGCTTTCCACCGCACGGCAATTGCAGGAGCCTCCTCCCTGGTCTCTGCCCTCACTTACAGTGGTGCCAACCGCCCCTGCACCCCAGCAGAAGCTGCGCTCTTACATGGCAGCCCCTTCTGCCCCAGGCCTCACCTCTCCAGGCACCGTCCTGGCTCTGGGCCCCTGCGCTGCCCGTTCTGTTCTGCATTTCCTCCGCCTTTTCTGCCCTGTGAGGCCGACCTCTGCTGTCTTCATTGCTTTATTTCCCCAGACTCAGCCAGCATCGAAGGCGAGCCGTGTCCTAGGACCCTTGCAGCTGGCATGCAGGGAGGAGTGTGAGGCTCCCTGCCCCTCCTCAGACTCTCAGAATTCAGAAGAGCCAAGCTTTTTTGTCCTTGCCCTGCTGGGCCAAAGGATGCCTTGCCTTCATTTCTCTCTGGGGTAGACACCCTGAGCTTTTGCTGTGCACCTGCCGCGTGGAAGAGGGAGCTGCCCCCGCCCCTGCTCTCTGTAGCTGACTCCAGCTTCCCTGGCCACCCTTGGCTCAGCAAGGCCCCGGGAGCCCCAGTGCCATGTGACACCTTCTGTAAGTGTGGAATTCAGGAGAATGTGCCTTTGATCCCTGAGTCACTGTGTGGCTGGCATGTGCCCTGGCATGAAAGTCATTGACGGGCAGGGGCAAGCATGAAGGCACCTCTGCTGTGCCCCTGCTTGGGTGCTTTCCTGTCTTCTCTGACCAGCTCTTAGGTTGAAATAAGTCCCGCCTGTTTTAACAGATGTTTATTAAACATCTGCCCTGGCCAGGCTGTAAGCAGCCTTCAGGGTCTCTGTTCTTAATACAATAGGCCCCTCCTGGTGCTGGTGGGCAGAGGGAGAGGAGATTAAGTCCAGTGTCCCACAGGTGACTGCATAATTTCACATGGGACAAGAGGGAAAAAGAGCAGACCTTCCCTTTTATTTTTATTTGTTTATTTATTTTCTTTTTATAAATTGAGACAGTCTCACCCTGTTGCCAGGCTGGAGTGCAGTGGCGCGATCCCTGCTCACTGCAACTTCCATTTTCTGGTTTCAAGCGATTATCCTGCCTCAGCCTCCCGAGTAGCTGGATTACAGGAAGCGCCGCCATGCCCGGCTAAACAGACCTTTCCTTTTATGAGAGGGATGCTGGTGTGGACAGCCGGAGGGGAGATGAAACTGAGCAGAAGTGAGAGTCACTTTGGTGCCCGGCACTTTGTCTCACACCTGTAATCTCGGCACTTTGGGAGGCTGAGGCTGGGGGGTCGCTCCAGCCCGGGAGTTTGTGACTGGCCTGGTCAACATGAGACCCCTGTCTCTACTTTTAAAAGTAAAAATAAGATATTTTGGGCAGAGAAGTGCCTGTGTAAAGGCCCTAAGGTGAGCGTTTGCCTGGTTTGTTCAAGGAGCAGAGGGGAGGGTGTGAGGGGGAGAGGGCCTGGGGAGTTTGTGCTCATCTGAGGGCGATGGGAAAGGGGTGTCGCTTGGGCCTCCCAAGTGCTGTGAGAAAAGCTCTTCCTTGCTCTCGGTGGGAGCAGCGGTGGGAGGCCTCGAGGCAGGGCAGGTGTGGGGGCCCCACAGCCCAGCTGATTGGAGAACCTCGCAGATTCCAGGCTCTTCTCCCTGTCCAGCCTCCCTGCCCTTCGCTGTCCTGTTGCTGGTGAACACCCCGTATAGGCAAGGATTTTACTGCGGGGATGAATCCATCCGGTACCCCTACTGGCCAGACACCATCACCCATTGGCTCATGGCCGGGGTCACCATCACGGCCACTGTCATCCTTGTAAGGCAGAAGGGGTTCAGAGGGACAGGGAGGGCAGCAGGATGGGGTACAGCCTAACTCTGGGTTCCTGATGGGGGTGGCCTGGAGGTCTGTGGTGGGCTGGGGGACACAGCTTTGCCCCGAGTTGTACTTATGGGTAATAGGAACCCCTTTTTGTTTTTTGAGATGGAGTTTCACTCTTGTTGCCCAGGCCGCAGTGCGATGGCAGGATCTCCACTCACTGTAACCTCCGCCTCCTGGGTTCAAGTGATTCTCTTGCCTCAGTGTCCCAGTAGCTGGAACTACAGGCGTGTGCCATCACACCCAGCTAGTTTTGTATTTTTAGTAGAGACGGGTTTCACAATGTTGGTCAGGCTGGTCTTGAATGCCCGACCTCAGGTGATCCGCCCACCTCAGCCTCCCAAAGTGCTGATATGGCAGGCGTAAGCCACTGAGCCCGGCTAGGGCACCTTTAGAGTCCCCAGCTCTGCAGCAGCCTTGGGAGGCCCGTGGGGAGGACTGAGGCCCAGTGAGGGCCCACGGGCTGACCGGGACCCCCGCTGGTTGCTGCAGCTGCCCCACGCGCAGGTCTCTGTGGGAGAAGCCTACCTGGTGCACACGGACTGGCTCTATTCCCGCTCCGACTTCAACAACTACGTGGCTGCCGTGTACAAGGTACTGGGGACCTTCCTGTTCGGGGTGGCAGTGAGCCAGTTTCTGACGGATCTGGCCAAGTACACAATCGGCCGTCTGCGCCCCAACTTCCTGGTCGTCTGTGACCTTGAGTGGAGCCAGGTCAACTGCTCAGTCTATGTGCAGCTGGAGAGGGTGTGCAGGGGAAACGCTGCTGACGTCACCGAGGCCAGGTGAGTATGGATGAGCAGCCTTCACTCTGGGGGGCAGTGGGAGCTGAAGAAGCCGCAGAAGCCAGATGGTGAGGAGCCAGCAGGCAGGTGGTCAGGCAGGAGCGAGGCCTCCCGGTGTCCCGCAGACAGCAGGAGGCCGGGGGGAGCGTGCTCTGTCTCCCCCGAGGCTCAGCCCTACCCTCTTCTGCGCTGTCTTCTTACCATCTCTACTGATAGGTCCTTAAACGTTTCAACTCATTGTCTTTTTTAAAACATCAAAATATTGACTGACAAGCCTAGGGTAATGTCAGACCAAAAAAAAAAAAAGGAAAAGAGAATTGAAGCCAAATC